TATGCACAGGGAGACAGCTCAGGGGGCAGGAGTGTATGGAGGGATGGACACTGGGAAGAGGTAACTATGGGGAAGAAATGGGAGGAGAGCTGTTGCATTGTGGTAAACTGTCGTAAATGACATGAAACAAAGTATATGTGAACTGCTGCATGGAAAGTGAATTTGCTCTGTAAATCTTCACCCAAATCACAATTAAAAAAAAAAGAAAGAAAGAAGAAAAAAAAAGATTCCAATCAGACATCAGAATAGTGTCACTAATGATACAATATTTTCACTGACCAGCTTTCTCTGTAAAAAACATGTTGTTGTTGTTACACTAATATGCTTTCAGTGTTTTCATGAAATTAAATATAGGAAAACAAGACAGATTTTACCAAAAATGGAACTATTGTTCTATTTTTGTTTTAAGTCCTGAACAAGTTCTGGAAACAAATTTCAATAATGGAAAGGTATTTAATTTAAATGCATGCATAATTAAGAAATATCTAGGGGATATTTAAATAAGTTTCTAAGTCTTCACTGTCTGACACAGTAATCACTACGTAGCTACTATACCACTATATGGCTGTTTGAATTTAAATTAATTAGAATTAAATAAATTTAAAAACTCACTTCCTCAGTCACACTAGCTAAATTTCAAGTGCTCAGTAACCACATGAGGCTCCGGTACTGGGCTGTATAAATATGGAACATTTCCATCACTGCAAAAAAACCTATTGGTCAGCACATTTAGTCTGCCCTCCATCATTCTGGTGTGATTTTCTAAAATTAAGTAACTGATCCCAAATTAACTGTTTCACACTTCTTTTAACACTATCCTGGCAATTTAGCAATTACATTTTTTCCCTCTGTATAATCTATTATTTAAATTAGGTTAAATACCATAGGTTTTTGTTCTAATCCAAGTGCTACTATACTAACTATGTGCAGATGTTTGCCTGATTTTATTATTTGCACAAGTATTACAGAGTCTTCCCACCATTGGCTTTAGCACCAAGCTTTCCCCTTGAGAGCGCCCCATGTTTGGACTCACGTCGACGGCAGTCCATCAGCGTGGACTCTGGCACCTTAAACCGGAGAGAACCTCCTGAGCCAGGAAGTCTTCCGCCTACTTTCAATAATTCTCTTGCTCCAAATCCTTCCACAACAACCATGTCAATAATGGTCAAGTTATTCCTATAGTGAAAGGAGACACAAATAAAAAGGCATTAGAACAGTCACAAGATACAACCAGTGTATTTAAATTTAAATATTCCTAGCCAGCAAAGAAGGAGCTCTGGTGGTACAGTGCCTAAGGTTTTTGACCACTAATCAGAAGGTTTGTGGCTCAAACCCACCAGCTACTCCACAGAAAGAAGACAGGGCAATCTATTTCCATAAAGATTTATACCTTGTAAACTCAATGGGGGTCACTATGAATTGGAATCGACTCTACAGCAGTGGGTTTGGGTTTTCTGTAGTTGTTTTTGTTGGTTTAGGTAGCAACGCCATTTTCAAAAAGAAAAGCAATTTAAATAGTGTGGCATCTTCTGCTCCATCATGGAATAAGAGCACGTCCACAGGCAATGGAAGATGACTAGGCAGAGGAGTCAGAGAAGCAGACTACAGCAAGATGGGTGAACAGCTGTGATCAGTCTCCAACCACAACATATGCAGACCTATGTTTTGCTGTTCTTGTTGCAAAAATATATATAATTCACATTTGTTAATTTGATAACATCAATTATAGCAATCATGTTTTACAATCATCACCATAAACACACACTACTTTTTAAATAAGCCCATTTTTGGTTTCCAAAGCTGTAATCTTTACAGAAGCAGACTGCCACATCTTTCTCCCACAGAGCAGCTGATGGATACAAACCACTGACCTTTCAGTTAGCAACAAGCACTTTAACCACCATGCCACAAGGACTTCTTTTTTTTTGACAACCAGACAAGAGTGGTGATCAGACACCCAAGAGAAAAAGACTGAAGAAGCAAGTTGGAAGTCACAGAGAAACATGAACAAATTTAGGCAAACTGGTAAAAACTTTACAGAATGAATTAAAGGGTTTCATAGTAATTATGGCCATAAGAAATTTTGTCTTCAGGAATGATTTTAGAAGCCAAAATTCTGCTGATTCTTTTGAACCAAAAAAAATTAAAAACACCAGCTTATACGGCACATATATCTAACGTGTTCTAATTAACACAGAAAACAGCAATTAAACAAAATCAGTAATCAAAACAAAAACAGTAATGCAGACTAGCTTTTGCCTTTCCTTAACTGAAATCATGATTCCTAGGATTAAAAATTTAAGTGGAAATGATATTTAAGCAATGTGAACTAGACTAAAAGTCAGTCATTATAAATGTAAATACTAGAGAAGAAAAAGAATTCATTTTACTTTTCTATTTATGCAAAATACACTGAGATATTTTTATATCTTTATCTAAAGGATTAAAAACCCTTAATCAATAATTTACAAGCCTTTAAGTAATAAAGTAAGTCATGTTACATGACTGACACTGTTTACAGAAAAATATTCATGTTGATCAGTAAATAAAGCACCAAAAATAAATTAACTAGTACAAAAAATTCAGACTTTATTTTCAAGTCTGACATACCTTAACCCGAGATGAAGTTTCATCTGTGAATTTCCTATGGCCTTAATTCTTAAATGAAGAAACAGGTTTAAAATGAAACATATTAGCCAGCTGCCTAGGAGTTGATTCCTACTGAGACACAAGGGATTAAGTGATGAGCTTCAGGAGGCCTTTCTTAGCTACTATCTCCCCCTATCATGTAATCAGCCAATTCATCAGTAAAGGCCTGGCTGAGATATAAACACCAACTATCAGTTAGAGGTGGAGGGTCAACGAGAAAGGGGAAGGTCCTCAACAAGACGGATTGACATGGTGGCTGCAACAATGGGCTCAGGTGTAGCAAGGATTGTGAGGCTGGCACAGGACCAAGCAGTGTTTCATTCTGTTGTACATAGGGTCACTATGAATCAGAGCTGATGAGACGACACCTAACAACAACAACAATCAGAGGGAGTCCCTGTGAGATGAAAACAATTAAGAGCTCAGCTACTAACTGAAACATGGGCAGTTCAAACCCACCCAGTGGTGCCACAGAATAGAGAACAGGCTACCTGCTTCCTTAAAGAGTGTTGTTGTTGTTGTTATGTGCCATCGAATCGGACCCAACCCCTAGCAACTCCTCCTTGGGATTCTGAGGTAGTATCGCTACGGCAGTAGATCGTCCAACCCTCCTTCCGATCGTTCAAACCCACCAGCCTTCTAGTTAGCAGTCAAGTGCCTTAGACACTGCGCCACCAGAGCTCTTCCATAAAGAGTACAGCCAAGAAAACCGTATGGAGCAGTTCTACTCTGTAACACAGGGGGATCACTATGAACTGGAATTGACTGGACAGCAACTGCTTTGGTTTTTGGTTTTACTAACAGGAGATTATGAATTCCTGAAAGAGAATTAGACAAGTCAGTGAGGAAAAAAAAACAGAATCTGTAACAAAGATATACCTACCTGATTAATATGAGTGAGGTTACTTTTCCATAGTCAGCTGGTGTGAAAACTACACCAACCCTTCTCATCTCTAAAGGCTGCAAATGTAAGTGGAGGATGCCAAACCTGGATTCCTCAGAATGCACACCCTGCAAATTATTAATAAACATAATTACACAAATCCAATAAAGCAAGTGTCCATCTTTGTAAAGCAGATCTTGGCATTAGATGCCATCTAGTAGGTTCCAACTCACAGTGACCCTATGCACAAGAGGGGGAAGCACTGCCCAGTCCTGTGCCATCCGCATAAACTGTGCTACGTCTGAGCCCACTGTTGCAGGCACTGTGAAAAGTCATCTCATTGAGAGTCGTCTTCTGTTTTGCTGACCCTCTACTTCTACAAGCGTGGTGTCCTTCTATAGGGACTTATTCGTCCTGATAACATGTCCAGAGTGTGTGAGAGAAAAGTCTCACCATACTTGTTTCTAAGGAGCATTCTGGCTGTACTTTTTGCAAGACATCTTTGAGTACAAACACAATTACTTTTCCTTTAATGTCTAGATTTGATGCCTCTAACCATCCTGCTGAACTTACTTATCCTGAAAGTTCACACCAACAAACAGTTCTTGGACCACTGATGAGGATTATCAGCAGAGGCCATAGGATAACTGGACAGAGATGTTGGAAAGGAGATTTGTTTCCTGGCTATTATAGGAGTTGGAGTTAGAAGCCTATTCAAAGATGTCTTAAGTGTAAAATATCATTCAAAAAACAAACCAAATAACCTCTGCTTAAATGCTACAGGGCTCTGACAAGACCTCCCATCTACTGTTACCCTAAAACCTAACACTGAATTTAAGTTTAAACAAAAACCATCTTTATTATACTCTCTTGAGTGAGAAAGATATTTTTATTCATTCACATGTTCTTTTGGCTCTCCAAGATTTCTACCATTCTCTAAATAAATCTTACATATGAAATTTAATACTCAAGTGTTCATTTCACTGTTTCTTCTACCTCCTTGTCACTATAAACCACTGATTCTTTAGAAGTATGAGGCTATAATTATATCTTTCCTATGCTGCCATTTTTTTGATGTTCTATCTAAGGGGTTAATGATAGGGCTAGTGCTAGGACTAGCACTTGTGCTAAATTTAGAGTTGGGTGAAGACTAGGGTTTAGGATTAGGTTAGGATTAGGGCTAGGGTTAGGGCTGTGTTTAGGTTAAGGGTGACTGTTAGGGGTAGGGTTAATGCTAGGACCAGGGCTAGGGTCCACCACTCATTTGTGAGTTCTTTATACTGTGGTGGCTTGTGTGTTGCTGTGATGCTGGAAACTATACCACCAGTATTTTAAAAACCAGCAGGGTTATTCATGGTAGATAGGTTTCAGTGGCGCTTCCAGATAAGAGAGACTAGGAAGAAGGATGTGGCGGTTCTAATTCTGGGAAAAAAAAAAAAAATGCCACTGAAAACCTTTATGAATAGCAGGGGAACACTGTCTGACACAGTACCAGAAGATGAACCCCTCAGGTTGTAAGGCACTCAAATACAAATGAAGAAGAGCTGCCTCTTCAAAGCAAAATCAACCTTTTATTATTATTGTGATTTGGGTGAAACTGTGTGTTCTATTTTTAAATTTTATTTATTGGTCAACTACTGCTAGTATTTCCCATGTTAAATGAAAGAAGAAATGGTGATATTTGATTCTTTCTCATTATAAACTTCATGAGGGGAGAAATCCTGCTTTCTACATATAATATGTATATTGAAAGAGAAAAATGCTGGCTTTTGATATTAAAATGAAAACTAAAACCAAAAGTCAAACTCACTGCCATCAAGTTGATTCCGACTCACAGCAACTCCCATCGGGTTTCCAAGGCAGTATCTCTACGGAAGTAGATTGCCCCATCTTCCTTCCATGAAGCAGCTGGTGGGTTTGAACTGCCAACTTTCTGATTAGCAGTCAAATGCCTTAGGCACTATGTCACCAGAGCTCTTTTAAAATAGTAACAGCACCATTTATTAAGTGGTTCTTATACACCAAGCACTAGTATACAAAAAGGAATATAAAATGGTGGGTATTTTCAAGACCTTATTTATTTAATCTTCAGACATTATGAGTGAGAAACAGACGGGACTCAGAAAATCTGCCCAAGGTCACATAGCTAGATCCTGGAAAAGCCAGGATTCAAAGCCCTGCATATCCAACTCTACATGTTCTTAATCAACCCATCCACTGCCATCGAGTCAATTCTAACTCACAGTGACCCACAGGACAGAGCAGAACTTCCCTCATAGGGCTTACCAAAGCCTTCAGTCTTTACAGGAACAGACTGCCTCCTTTTTTTCCTGCAAAGCAATTGGTCAGTTCAAACTGCTGACCTTCTGGTTAGTAGCTGAATGCCTTAACCACTGTACCACCAAAGCTTCTTCGTAACCAAGGAATATTTTAAAAAGGAAACCAACAAAATAAAAATGCAGGCAGCCTTTCTTTGCATAATAAGTAGTTCTAATAGTAATTTTAAGTGAAATTTTTAAGTGCCTATTACCCAGACCATTCCTTTTGTCTATGTAATAAATTACTTTATTATCATAAATAGCTATAATATTCTTGGGGAAAATCTTTGGCCAGAAATAATCATTTTTTAAGATGAGTTGCACTGCTGTTCAAATCTGAACAGAACATCTACATGTAAAAGTTACTGATATTATTTTTTAAATTTCAAACTATATATGATTCAATACCAGGGGGACAAAACAGCTTTTGGTATTTTGGACTATCTGATCTCACACAGCACTGCAAGATTGCTTGGTGGAGAGGAGACTGAGAGGGATGGTGAGGGGGACAGGACATCCTCAAGACATGCCTTGGTGTGATGCCTCATCACCTCTACGGCTGCCCGGACCACTTAAAGAGAGAAAGGAAAAGTTTGTTGGTAATGTGCGTTTACTATTATGAATTAGTCTGTATCAAAATTTACTTAAAAACCTGCTTTGATTAGTTGTTACTCTTAGTTGGGGGTTATCTGTGATTCCCTTCCTTCCGTTATTCAAGTTGATCTTGAGTCAACAGTATTTTTTTGAAGCAATAAATGTGGAGGAGTCCTTAACTTGGTACAAACAATTAATGCATTCAGCTACTGACTGAAAGGTTGGAGGCTTGAGTCCACTCAGAGGCGCCTCAGAAAAATCAGCCAACCTTACAAAGCACAGCTCTACTCAGATATACATGGGGTTGCCATGAGTCAGAACTGATTTGATGGCAACTGGTAAGGGTAGAGGAAGAAGAAAATACACAAGTGTGTGTTTGTGTGTACTAATCACATTATATGTGTGTACATGTGTGTGCTTTCTGTAACAGATGCTCCACTTTTGACCTGATTTCACAGAATACCTGTAAGAAAAACACTGAACTATTCACCAAAAGCCACAGAACTCAGTGAAGACTAAAGAACAAGGCTGCCAAGTACCAATCAAACATCTTCCCCACATGACAGGTTTACTCCTACTCCCAAGGATTTATCCAAGTCCTTATGATTACTTAGAGGCTTCAGAATTTCAGAAAAATCCTTTTTTTTTTTTTTAATAGATGAGGTGAATATCACAGGCTAAAAACAAGTTTATTTTTTAAAACCTGTTTGGCCCTAAAAAGAATACGAGGGGCCAGGGAATCTTAAGAGAATTATAAATTCTAGGGCCTCATTTTTTATGGTTTTCTATATAGCTCTGATTCAACTGTTATTTCCTCAAGCACATGAACTCCAAATTAAATCTCCAAATTAAAATAATTTACAGACTAAGGTGAACCATGGGCTCCTGCTGCATTAGTTAATTGGAAAAGTCTGCTATGTATATTTAATACCTAGAGAATAAAAACAAGAGCGCCACAGAGAGTATGTAAAGACACTTTAAACACAAATCACGGAGGCCCCTATGCTGATGTGTCTCATTTGTGGGCACTCTTTATTCTGTCTAAAGATGACATCCTACCCCATAAGGGCACGCTTTGGTGAGCTGGAATTCACCAGTTGTGAAGTTTATCATCTGCATATCAGTGCCAAACCTATAAAGAAAAAAACAAATGGTTAAAATTGCACTTAGATTTGTCAATAAAGAAATAAAATATGTGCACGTGTATCTACATTTATATACACATGAGCACAGGCCTGCATACAAGCACACAATTCATCCCGCCCTGTTCCTAATGTATTCTGACCCTGCACCATACTTGGCATATTATGAGTGCTCAATAAATATGGTTGAATGAATGACTCTTATAGCACAGAATGGAAAGAAATGTGATGACAAAGGCTCTAAATATGAAGCATTTTTCCCTAAATTGGTTTCTAGCTATTGAACCAGGAAGGCAGTGATTCTTAATTGAAGATAATTTTCTCCCCAAGGGAATTTAGCAATGTCTGGTTGTCACAGCCTGGGGAGATACTACTAGTGGCACCAAGTGGATGGAGGCTAGGGATGCTGTTAAATGCCCTTCAATGTGTAAGACAACCCTTATACCCCAAAAACATAGGATAATCTGGCCCAAAATGTCTAGTGACAAGGCTGAGATAACCTAGGATAAGGGTAGATATATCTAAGTCAAGAGGAAGAAATATTTTAAGAAAACTGTACTTATGTAAAAATCAAGATATAACACACATGAACTAATACTATTATCCTGTCATCTTGTTCAACTCTAGACTGTTGTTGTTAGCTACCCTCGTATCAGCCCCAGACTCATGGTGACTCCACGTGTTACAGAGTAGAACCGGTCCACAGGGTTTTCTCGACTATAATCTTTTCTGAAGCAGTTTACCAAGGCTTTCTTCTGCAGAGCTGCTGGGCGGGTTCAAACTGCCAGCCTTTAAGTTAGCAGCTGATCGCAAACCATCTGTGCCATACTGAACTTACTTTTAGTGTTGCCCAGAGATCAACATGATTTCAACTCTGAATATTAGTATAGGTGAAAAATCATGCTGACAATGTTCCTGGGGGTGCAAAAGGTTAACCAAAATGATGGCTACTAACAAAGAGGATGGTGGTTCAAGTCTACCCAGAGGCATCTTGGAAGAAACATGTGGCATTCTACTTCCAAAATAGTAGCCACGGAAGATCCTGTGGAGTGCAGTTCTACCCTGACACACATGAGGTCAGTATAACTCAAAATCAACTAGATGGCAACTGGTTTGGTTTTGCAACCAAAGAAAATTCTGCTGGGAAGTGGCCTTGAAGCAATACGTAACAAACAGTTCCAGTAATATCTGTCAAACGCACCAAGGGGCCAGGCCCAAGTCACACGGGCTAATGGGTTAAGATCTCTTGGAGTATTTAACAGTATTTACCAAACTGCCCATAAGAAAGTCTCCATAGAACTGGGTGCATTACCATTTGTGGAGCAGGCGCACAGCAGCTTCAGGTTTAGGATATAAGGAGACAGGAAGGAGCTGCAGGGAGACGGGCAGAGAGGAAGGGTTCTTCACCATAAAGTATTGCACCTAGATATAGGGAAAGGAAAATCAAAACCCTGAGAAAGACACTGACCACTCCTGAATGGAGCATTCCTGGCCAAAATGCAGAGCCTGAATCTAATCACAAGTATCCATCACACAACTCAAACTGAGGGACATCCTAGGAAACAAACGGCCTGCATGCTTCAAAAATGCGTGTATCATGAAAAGGAAAGAAAGGCTGACGAAGACTAAAGGAGACAAAAAAGACCTGACAACTAAATGTAATATGAGAACCTGGACCAGAATAAAATTGTTACATTAGCTTTAATGAGATAATTGGAAATTTTGGATACAGCCTGCAGATAATATTATCATATAGATAACAGCATAATGTTACACACTCACATGAAGTCTTTAGAGGTAAGTCAGCATAATGTCTGATACAAATGGCTCAAAAAATGTGTGTGTGCAGAAAGAGAGGAAGAGACAGAATTACCATGATTTTGCAAATGTGGCAAAATGTTAAAAATCAATCTTTGTGAAGGATAACTGGGTATTCTTAGTACTATTGTCAAAACTTTCCTCTTAAGTTTGAAACTATTTCAAAACAAAAAGTTTTAAAAAAGTAAGTTTTAGGGTATCATTCTATGAAACTCAATGAGCACCAGAGAAGGCACAAATTATAACTCAGATCATTTTTCCTGATTATCGTTATTGGGATCTATGAATAAAACATAAAGGCAAGGCTATTAGAATCACTGGATCACAGAACAATGGGAACTGTTAAAAAGCTTTTTTTTTTTTTGACAAATCTTAATTATCTGAGGAATCCCTCCACCTGACTGTAAAGTTGGGGACCCAAGTGAAACTCCTGGAAAGCATGTATCTACGTAACAAAAGTGACCACCTTTCTTGATAAATCCTCAGTATTAATAGCCAGTGGCATAGTGCCTAAGGCAATTGACTGCTAACCAGAAATCTGGCAGTTCAAACCCACCAACCACTCCTCAGAAGACTGGGCAATCTACTTCTGTAAAGATTTACCGCCTCGGAAACCCAAGGAGGGGTTACTATGAGTCAGACCCGACTCGATGGCAGTGAGTTTGGTTTTTGGTTTGGAGGGAAAAGCAGGCACAACCCATCATCTCTCATCCCAAGAAAAAAGCATCATATGTTTCCAAAAGACCTGATACAGAAGAAAAGAGAAGCATCAAAATTTACCAAGGCAGAAACTTTTAAAAAATGGTCCATTTTCAATTTTGTTTCCAAAGATATCAGAGGGTGGGGAGGGGGGATTTGTTTCTACAATTACTCTGAAAACAGAATTACTAGTTCTATACTTATATCATCAACCTCTTAAATAAATAATCTACTCATCAGTTTTAAAGAGTCTAAAGATTAGAACTTCTAGTCTGACTCACCTACCTAGTAACTTAGTCACAGGGATAAAAATATAACTAACTCCTTAAATGCTGGTTCAATATTTTAACAAATATCTTTTATATTTATATTATTTTTTTTGTGTATATACATATATATATATATACACACACACACACACTTAAGAATATCATAAGAAATATGCATATAGGTTAGAAAATAATGGTATCCTGAGTCAGAAAAGGAATTAAATTTCATATATTTTCTTGAACAACTGTTTGTTAAGCCTAACATAAAAGTAAACAAAGGCTAACTATTTAACATTGGAGCACCGCTGCAGGCTCCTGGAAGTTAACCGACCTGACCTCTTCTCCCTTTCCTGCTTCTACTACAGACACAGTAAAGGAGTAATCGAGTTTTCAGACACTCTCAAAATTAGGGACATTGTCTATGTAATAAATTACTTTATTACCATATATAGGTATGATATTCTTGGGGAAAATCTTTGGCCAGAAATAATCATTTTCTAAGATGAGTTGCACTGCTGTTCAAATCTGAACAGAACACCTACATGTAAAAGAAACTGATGTTATTTTTTAAACTTCAAACTATGTATGATCCAATACCAGGGGGAAAAAACAGCTTTTGGTATTTTGGACTATCTGATCTCACACAGCACTGCAAGATTGCTTGAGCTGAAATAGATTTGACGAGGGGTCGCTATGAGTCGGTCCGACTTGATGGCAGTAAGTTTGGTTTTTTTTTTTTTTTGGTTGGTTGGTTGGCTGGTTATGTGATGCAGTTCTTGTCAATGAGACCTAAGGGGAAGTCTGTGGCATCACCCCCTCCCTTTACCTTTCTGCCTGCACACTGTCCCTAGCACAAGGAGAGAAGCACTGACAAGGTAGGAAGCCAGCAGACTGAGTATGAGAGTCAACACAACACAGAGAGAGCCTCAGTCCCTGGTGGTATCACAGAGCCACCGAACTGGCTTCAGACTGTCTCTTCTGGGCTTTTTTCTAAGAAACAAACAAACTCTTAGGCAAGACTAAGTGTTAGGCAAAACGTCTGTTGTTTGCAGCTGAATGCTTTCTTACTTGCATTCAGAGTTAAGATTCTGAACTGTATATAAACTTCACAAATAAAACACACTTGGACTATAGCACACAACAATGATTCTCATGCCAAACTCATTGTTTGCTTTTGACGTTCCCCACTAAAAGTGCTGAATGGCATATATGTGTCACATAAAGTGAATTTAAATTAATTTTGGATCTAAACAGTAACTGAAGGTGGAATTTCTCTAGTATGCTGAAAGAGATTAAAAACACACTATCCTCACCACGCTGTTCCTAAGGGCAGTTGCGCTGAAGTTTAACACAAGGCCAGGCTCTGCAACCAAACGAGGCAAAAAGAAGACAAAGGATTCTGACTCCTTGGATTTCTTCAAGTGGGCAAACCGAGTCATTCCTAGAACATTCCTCCTGTTCAATTGATAAAGAAATTATTATGAAAATGATTTTGACATTAAAAGGGGAGAAATTAATGAATACCACTATTACTGAAAGGAAGAAGAGTTCCTTGTGGGGGGAAATGGCTTATTTCAGGTCTAGGGAAGGGAAAGTATAAGATGACCCTGGACTATCCTGTTTTATTGGAAAGCAAGGAAGCACTCAAAGAATAATGGGAATATGTCCAAAGGACACAGGAACTAGTCTAATGGGGCTCCCAACAACCAAATTTGGGATAAATTAGCATCAAAAATAGTGATGATAATACTTTACAACACATTGAGTAAAGAATTAATGGACCCATATTATAATGCTCTAAAATAACATAAGCTTTTTTTTTTCCCAGAATACTTGCTAATAAATATAAAACGAGAAAACTAATTTTAAGAGTCAGCATTTTACAGCCACCAACCAATCTAATGTAGAGGGTCAGCAAAAAAGGACTCAATGAGATGGACTGACACAACAGCTCCTGCAACAACAGGCTCAAGCATGGCAATGACTGTGAGGATAGCACAGGACCAGGCAGTGTTTCATTCTGTTGTACACAGAGTCACTATGAGTTGAAACTGACTCAACGGCACCTAACAACTACAACAATCTAATAACTGATTAACGCAACATATCAATAGATGTCAAATAAAACCACCAGGTGAAACAAACATTCTTAGAGAACAGGACATTTATATGATCTAAAATGTTCATCCCAGCTACTTAATTGCAAAGGGGAAAAGGGATCTTTGAAAAGGAAAGGTCTGTCACACTACAAGAGTACGTGGGTGGTATAAACAGTTAAGTGCATGTCACACAACACCTAAACCAAATGACAGAACTTAACAATGCTAAACAGTGAGACAAACTGACATTTATGTCCCTTTTGATGTGATGTAGAGTCCCTGTGTGACATAACAGTTAAGTGCTAAGCTATTAACCAAAAGGCTGGCAATCTGAACAAACCCAGAAGCATCTCAGAAGGCAGGCCTGGGAATCTGCTTCCAAGAAGTCACAGCCTTGAAATCCTATGGAATAGTTCTACTCTGCACATGGGGTTGCTATGAGTTGGAATCAACTCAACAACAACTGGTTGTAATGTGAGGCAATGACTGAGTATAGAAAAATGAAATAGATCATTAGTATTTCTTTTTTTTTTTTTAATTGTGATTTGGGTGAAAATTTACAGAGCAAATTCACTTTCCATATAGCAGTTCACATATACTTTGTCTCATGACATTGACCATAGTTTACTACAATGCAACAGCTCCCCTCCCACTTCCACCCCATAGTTACCTCTTCCCAGTGTTCATCCCTCCATACACTCCTGCCCCCTGAGCTGTCTCCCTGTGCATAAGCAGCCCTTCTTTCTCCCAAGACTGCTCTCTCCAAGGAGAGTATCTACTTGCGGTACATGTTCAACTCATATGCCTGTCTTTTGTTTGACTGGAAACCACAGGTGTAGGTTCAATTCCAGACCTGAAGGGCAGCTAGGGGCCATAGTCTCAGTGGTTCCATCAGGCTCTATTGGACCAGCAAACCTGGCCCCCCCCCTTTTTTTCCCCTCCACATGATTTTGAGGTTTATTCCACATTGTTCTCCCTCTCCATCAAGGATCTCCTACACAGATCCCCTTCCAAGTGGATGACAGTGGTAGCTGGGCACCATCTAATTCTTCTGGTCTCATAGTCGTATAGGCTGCAGATCGGATGGTGTACTAGTCACTAGGACTAATTGTTTGTGAATTTTGGTTTTCTTCAGATAATTAGTATTTCTGACTAAAATGTTTGAATAGGAACTTGAGAAAACAATCAGAAAAACCTAGAGTGTGGCGTGTTCTATAAGAACTGGTCTGGGCTCCTAAAAACTGTCAAAAAAGATGAATAAAGATGGCAATACCACTCTAACGAAAACATCCAAGCAAACATGGTATGTGATCCTTGAGTGCATCCTGGGTTAATTGAAAGAAGAAATCAGCTATGACAGATATTTTTGTGTCTACCAGGGAAGTTTTAAAATGGACTGTTCATTAGATAATACAATTTTATCAATGTTAACTTTGCTGGGTATAATAACAGTACTATAGTGTAATGCAGAAGAATATCCTTCTTAGGAAACATAACTAACGTACTGAGAAGTTAAGTATGGTATCTACAGCTTACTTTCAAATAATTTAGCACAAGAAGCATGTATGGATATGTACGTGTGTGTGCACACATATTAAGTCAATCCTCATTAATCACAGATTTCACATTTGCAAACTCTCCTACTTGCTAAAATTTATTTGGAACCTTCAAATCAATACATATGGCACTTTGGTGGTAATTTGCAGGTAAGCACAGTGAGGAAAAATTTGAGTTGCTTGATGCTCATGTTCCCAATTGAAGTCGAAGAAGGCAATGCTCTGCCTTCTTGTTTCAGCTCCCATACAGTAAACAAGTACCAACAAGTATCTTTTCGAAGTCCATTTAGTGCCATGTCTTTTACATTTTTGTGCTTTTTATTGGTGGTTTTGTGGTTCAAAATGGCCCCTAAGCAAAAGTGCTGTCTAGTGTTCCTAAGCACGAGAAGGCTGTCATGTGCCTTACGAGGAAACACAAAAGTCAGGTAAGCTTTCACGCATGAGTTAGGGCTGTTGGCCTTGATTTCAATGTTAATTAAGCAACCTTATATAGTAAATAAAAAAAAAGGAGCTCTGCTGGCAAAGAGGGTAATGCATTTGGCTGCTAACCAGAAGGTCAGTGGGCCAAACCCACCACTGCTCTGTGAGAGGAAGATGAAGTAATCTACTTCTGTAAAGATTTACAGCCTTGAAAACCCAACAGGGGCGACTATGAGCTAGAATAGACTTAACGACAGTGAGTTTGGTTTCTAGGTTTTTTTTTTATGTAGTAAATAAAGTGCCTTTAAACAGAAACACACATATAACTAGGTTATATATTTATCTGTTGACAAAAATGTTCTGAACAAAGGCTTGAAAGAATTTAACCTTATATTTCTCTTAGAGCAATGGTTTAGTATTCACTGTAGCAATATTTAGTGTTTAAGGAGCCTGATGGCATAGTGCCTGTTCTGGTTACCTAGTGCTGCTCTGACAGGAATATACCACAAATGTGATGGCCTTAACAAACAGGAGTTTATTCTCTCACAGTTTGGAGGCTTTAAGTCCAAGTTCAAAGTGCCAAGCTGAGTGAAAGCCCCTCGACCACGGGGTCCAGCTCTGTCTCCTGCTCCTGGCCCACTGGTGCTAGAGGCGTTTCTTCACTCAGACAGCTGCTGGCTGCTGAGATGACAAACCCAAGATCAACAAGTAAAAAAAAGGCAGTCTCAATGTTACTAAACCACATGGCAGGCCATTAATTCAAATCCACTGAAAGTCTCAAGGTCAGCAGAGCATGGTAGCCTGCTAAACAACAACACGGCTACATGCAGGGTCCAAGTGTGCCATAAGCTATAGAGACTATCCTCAAGGATTCTCCTTATGTATAGGAAGCAGACCACATCCCAAAGGCAACTACTCTTGCTTGTGGTAGATTCCACCATGGAGTTGATTGCCAGTCTCATCATGGGAATAACTACCATCAGCTGCCCAGCCACTCAATCAGGCCCAGCCAAGTTGACAAATTTAACTACCACAGTGCCTAAGGTATTTGACTGTTAACCAGAAGGTTGGCGGTTCAAACCTACCAGCTACTCCATGGAAGGAAGACTGGGCAATCTATTTCTGTAAACATTTACCGCCTCAAAAATCCAAAGGGGGGGGGGTTGCTATGAGTCGGAATTGACTCAATGGCAGTGAGTTTGTTTTTTGGGTTTTTTTTTGTTTGTTTTAATTTAGCGTTCACAGTGACTTTATAGGTCATAACTCCAGCAAATAATGAGAAGTGGCTGTATGGATATATAGCTATAAATATGCAGTACAGATATGTAGACAGAGAAAAAGATAAAGCAAAGATGGTAACAATGTGAAGTGGTGAATCTAGGCGAGGAGCAGTTGAGTATTCACTATAATATTCATTCAACTTTTCTGGGCTTGGTATTTGTCAAAATAAAAAGCTGGGGAGAAACATCAATTAGTAAAAATTCAGTACCACAAGTGCAATTAAGTACTATGTAACTACATGTCTCCACTGCTGAATAAAATAAATAAAGTTGAAGACATACTTGCAGACGTCACCATTTTTAAATTTCTTCCATCTTTCATACAATTTATTCGCAAGTTCGGAATCCACGTCCCAGGTAGATCGATCCAGAGAAAGGCTCCTTTGCCAATTAGGGATTTCTAAAGGTTAGACCAGATTTAATACTTATATTTACAGAAAATGCATTTCAATTTCTGAACAATGCCAAGAACTAATTATAAAACTTCTCAAACCAATAAGATCAAGGGTGAATAAACACACCCTTGTTCTCTGACTGCTTTATACTAGAAGTCCCTCTTACTCAATGGCAAATGATATATTAAATCAAACAAATATGTATAAAACAAAAAACTAAATTAAATTGAATCATGGAAAGGTAACAACATAAAAGACACACGGCTCATGAATAGTGTGAAATAAATTATACTTGGAACATTTTTGACAGCTTTAAATCTAAAATGCAAAACCACCTCCACGTAAATGCTAATCACCACCTGCACTTTTCAGATGCAGGTGACTGAGAGACAAATAGTCATTTTCAACAGAGGGCACAGACCAGATGCTGAGCCTACATAAGGGGCATGTTTATAAAGGGGGTCTGCTATTCACATCTCACCCTCTTCTACTTATCTATTCGGTCTAGTCTGTGTTAAAGAGGGACATTAGGAAGAAAAAATGAGAATCTTCCAAAAGAAATCTCAAACCAATAGGATCAAGGGTGAATAAATAAACCCTTGTAAACTCTCCTCGGACAAAATGCTTTAAAAATCAAAATATGTGGGGAAAAAAAACCCTAGAAACAGCTTCTTTATCAACCCTCTGGCCTTCAGTCTCACACAACTACTAGCCCCTCCATCCCAAGATAAACGTTTATGCTCCTGTAACTCAAGTCTGCTGGCTCAACTCAAATGCAATTCCAAATTGTTTATCCTAACTTCTAGTCAGCTCTTTTATAAAAGGAACCAGAGCTTCCAGTTGTTCTTGGCAAGAAGACTGCTTATGATGATCAAATAAATAATGTATATGAAAAAAAAAAAAAAAATCTCTTACTAAAGAATAAGGGGACATTATTTTAGAAGTACCTCAGATGTTTTTGGAGGATTCTTAACAATTTCAAGTCATTTTGCTAATAATCATGCTCTCTAAGAATAGAATATGATGCAATTACATTTACAACTAATTATTCCATCTACAAATGCTAAACTTTCCCCCACCCCAAACTATATTCTACAGAAAGCCTAAGGGTAAAATACTTACCTGCTTTTGACTTTCCCATGAAATAATGCATGCCACAATGTGCTATCACTTCAAAACCCAGACTCCCTTCCTAGATTGAAAAGTAATATATGAATAACTTAAAATACAATACTAAACATAAAAATCCTAACAAATGTGAAGCAGACATTGGTCTCCATCTCAGTGAATTTCCCTTTAACCAGGAACCAAACAACTAGAAAGTAAAAATATCCTGGTTTCCTTTTCACTTGGGAGGAGAGATATGAACTGCCTCTCACAGGAAGGATGATACTGGGGACTCTATACAACAATTTTTGTCCTATAATGACTCCTGGGGCTTAAAAATCAGTAAACTGTCTTCTGAATTTAAGATGAACGTAGGCTCAGGGCATTTTTAGTGGGTTTTTGTTTTAATTGCACTCTATCTAACCCTCTGAAAAAGAATAAACCACTCTCTAGTAATTTCTGGCTAATCGGTATGTTTAATCAATATCTTTATCTCTTACAGGTCTGGAGAACAAAGCTAGTTCTACAAATACTGCCTCCTCCCTCTCATAGTTACTCTTCTTGTATGCCTCTCTTGCTTGGAAAAAGGAGGTTTCTAAGATATCTCCATGCTCAAAATTAACCTTAAATTTTCTTTAGATTAATTCTGAGAGTCCTATCTTTAACCTTATAACTAAACATGAGGAATTTCTAACTATGAAACATTGACAGTAATAAGTGAGAAAATCATAAAGATGGTTGCATGAATGTTTCATAGTGAAAAACTAGAACCCAGTGTTATACATAATAGTCTGGATCAAAAAGAAGCAATAATAATAACTAAATGAAAAGAAATAAACATTAAGGAAAAAATGAGACATGTTTAAGATCAGATCTATATTACATATAACTTATCCATATATTAGAAAACATTTACTTAATTATAAACACTTTTAGGCTTAGATTTGGCCTACAAAGGAAATCCTGGGGATATGAGCAATGCAGATTCACTCTAACACAGGTCTAAATAAAACATCTGAAATCTAATTTCACTGCAAGTATGTGTCAACTGTGTTTTCTACAGCAAGCACATATTTCTTATTCCTTATTTTGGAAATAAAGAAAAATGAGATCTATTAATCTACTTGTAAAGCCTTATTCAAGAACGTTAAACTACTTTATGAAAAATAGAAACTCTTTCCAAATAAAGATTTCCATGTCTAAATCATTTAACATCTAAGATTGGACTAGATATCCTTCAATTTCTAAACAGCCTTAAATAACATGAACTTAAACCCAGTTAATAAAACACAAGCACAGTAAGATAATGTAAAGGAACATTCATTTTAGGAATAGTATAAAACACGTACAGTGCTGTAAACAATACCTTGGTTGATGCCGAGTATATCTGTAGAGGTATTGCAAAAATGGCACCTATGTTTGTAGTCAAAAATACATTGGTGAATATATTTATGGCAATGTCTTTAACAGAAAGTTTCAAAGAAAATATATTCCAACAGCCTGGAGGTAGAAATAAAGGGCCAGTGAAATTCAGAATCTAAAAAGAAAAGAAGCAAGAGAAGTTACTTTTCCTGACACTAATTACGATCATAATCAAGTATGACATTAAACTTTTTTTTTTTAACTCTAGAAAGCATAATTTTACTCAGTTATTTCCAAGTCAAAGACAAAAATGCTTTTCTATAAATAACAGGTTCAAATAATGTTTAATTTGCTACTGTTTTCAAGTTTCACAAAAGTAATCCTGAACTTTTTATAAATGGTGTTGAATTCTTGTAAGTGGTATTTGCAGTATCTACTATTTTATCATGACGCAGGTTTATTTTTCTAAATACAACCCTTTCAGTAGGATTTCTACATTAAAATGTGTTTGGAATAATAAGTAAGAGAAAATATTTGTAAAGCATACACATGCCGGTCCCTTTGAGATCTCTGAACAAGTTAAGAATGAGAGAAAAGGAGAGATCCTAAAAGTAGTACTGAAAATGTTTAAAGTATTTGCTTTAAAAACCATAAATAAAAGTCCAAATTTATAAATACAACTAATTCCATAGCATCTGACCTTAAGGAAAGTTTACAACAGGATAAAAATAGAAAATGAGAGTGAAATACTGTATGTACCTTTAAAATGTGCTTCGTCTCCTTGGAAACAAACACATCATTTAATACAATACTACGGTCAAAATGATTGAGATACCACATTGACCAGACTCCTGATACGTTCTCGTGTGTCTCTATGTAAAACTGGGCTGCAGCAGAATCCATTCTAAAATACCTGTGAACAGAGGACAAGAGGGCTATCAGCCTTTGAGTAAGACAACTGCACTCTGTTTTTGTTGTTAGTTGCCACTGAGTCAATTCCAACTCACACAACTCAGTAGAACTGCTCTATAGGGTTTTCAAGGCTGTGACCTTTCAGAAACAGATTGCCAGGTCTTTCTTCTGAGATGCCTTTGGGTGGGTTTGAACCACCAACCTTAGGTTAGTAACTGAGAGCTTAACTGTGTCACGTAAGGACTCTGTCAACAATCTGACAAATGCCTGACCAAGTGCAAAAAAAGATAAAGTGATAGAAATGTTGGTTTTGGAAATGACCTTAGAGATCACCTCGTTCAACCCTCTTCTTAATCATATGTGGAGCAACTGAAGGCCAGAAACAAAGCAACTGGCAAGGTCAGGGTAGCACAGTGGGGCCACCAGGGCAAAGCCAGCACCAGAATGCAACTCAGAGACACCAGGTGACCAATTCCTTGCTGGGCTGGCCGCCAAAACCTAATTCATGCACTGAATTATTCCACTTCTCCCCTATTTTATTAATAGCTCTTTCATTGCTTGTTAGCAATGCTAATGGTAGGGAAACAATTCCAGAGAGACAGAGAATCCTACAAGTCACATCAGTTACATTTTTAAACATCACCAGAGAATAAAATTATTATGACTTCAGGGAACACAGAATTAACTTACCCTTGAACCACAGGAGAGGACAGGCATGTTTTTAGTGTTGGACTGATTTTTTTCTTTACATTTTCTATATAATCACTTCTATTGCCACACGATGTAGCTGTTTTGAGGTATAAAGACATAAATGTAGAGCATAAATATTTTTTCTTTCATTAAGCGTGAACAAAAACAACACATTTTATTTATAACTTTTCTGTCTCCATTAAAATAGTGAATTAGATGTAAATGATAAAATTCTTCAAAAGCTCTTATCTACCTTTCTTCTTTACTAGCTTGTCAATTATTTAGAACAAGCTGCCTACTCTACTCTAAAACAAAACAAAACAATAAAACATATCTCATTTCTTCTCTTGAGGGAAAAAAGTTAGAGAGTCAACACTGTGCCTTTTTCTTTATAAATATATGTCGTCTCATAAATAAGAGTAGAGTCCTGTGCTCCCTTCGGCAGCACATATACTAAAATTGGAACAATAGAGAAGATAAGCATGGCCCCTGCACAAGGATGACACGCAAAGTCATGAAACGTTCCGTATTTTTGAGATTCCCAAGTGGTGGTAGGACCTAAGAATTAACCTAAAAATCACCCTGCTAGCCAGGGACTGCACACGGTGGCTGGGGAACAAACGGAGAAGGTGAAGAGAAAGGTGGGCTGAACTGTGGACTTCAGCCGGTCTGGAGGCCGCCCCCATTTTGAAGATTTAAAAAGCGGCTTGACTATTTTAGGATATTTAAAGAGACAGCACACTCTCAGATTCCTGGGGCTTAAGAACACGTTCTGCTTTCCAGCAACCCCAAGGACACTCAGGATCTGCAAGACTGACAAGGTACGACATTCTCCTTGTTACTGTGATACCCCACACCGGCTTGGTGAACGGAGGTGTGGCCATCCCCCACCTCCACCTACCTTCTGGGCCCACAGGAACTCCATCAGTCTGTGAGCTCAGATGGAGCCTGGGTGCCCTGCCCTGTCCTCCACTGATTCTTTTTTTATTTTTATTTTTTTCTTTTTCGCTTTCTTTTGTCTGTTGATTAGTTTGCTTGTATTTGTCTGTCTTAAAACAACTAATATTATTAATACTTTTGTCCTTTTTATGATCATTATTAATCTCCCCCGACCAGGTTCTAGTTTTCAGCATTTTTTCTTTTCCCTGTGCCTGGTTGAATTTTTTTTTTTTTTTT